AGATAGCATCTCCTTGCTGTGTCCTCACATGACAGAAGGGCATTAAGAGGCAAGTTCATTCCCTCAAGCCCTTTTAAAAAGGCCACAATTCATAAGGGTGGTGTCTTCATGACCTAATCATCTCCTAAAGGCCTCAACTCTTAAAACAATTGCATTGGAGAATAAGTTTTAAATGAATTTTAGAGAAACACATTCAAACGGTAGCACCGGTTTTTACCAAACAACTGTAACTTTTCTGTGTGTCTGAAAATTTTCAAAGTAAAAAGTGGAGAGGAAACGCAAAAATATTCTAGCTCCACCTCTTTAAAAAATTACCTGGGATTATGGTTTGGTGACAATCTAGAGAGAGAAAAACACTTTAAAACTGGTTCTATAAGAAACAGGGGTGTAGCTCTGTACATTTTTGGTAAAATGTTTGGCACAATGCTTTATAGGAGCATAAAAATATTGTCCTAAGGGTTAAGATTTTAAGTAGAGAAACTTATAAGGAAAGAGGATGCAGTTCCTGGTTATAAAATATGTCCATCAGCCTGACACTTTAATTACAACTTCTTTGGAGTTTATGGTATTATCCTCATTAATCCCCAATTAGAGGTTTGAGTCATCAAAATAAATCTGCAGGACTTACAAACACAGAGTTAGTTATCCAGCGGCCTAGCTTCGTGCTCCCAGAAGTATGACATATGATACCCTCTGTCCTTTCACTTCTGATGGATTTTCCAAGCCAAAAGCAGAGCCCAGGCTTAGAGAAACATATTTAAAGGTGTGTTTTTGCAGATGTCGGTTGGGACTAGAAAACAAATGTAGGCATGCTGAAACGCTGAGACCAATGAGGAAACTTAGCTGGGGAAAAGAACATTTCTTGTGGGACACATTAAGGTAATGTTAATATATAACGCTATCAGTTTTACTACTACTGAGTGGGTAAATGAAGGGGATGTTTGCGTGTCTTTCTCTCCGTGTGTGTGTGTGGGGGGAGGGGGCGGGTATTTTCACAAAATGACATGGAAACCTGACTGCAGTTATTTTGAGAAGAGGACTTGCAGATGTCTTGGGGGTGGGGAAAAGATGGAAGACTGGGATATCTTCTGGACTTCAGGGAAGAAGGATGAAACTTTAGTTCTTTCTTTAGGGAAAGAATCCAAGGCAGATTAATGAATTTAGCCTAATATTCGTGAATTCAAAGTAGATGCTAATCAGACTGCTTCCTCTCTCTTCTGTTTGCAAAACTGGCACCAAACAGGATTCCCCAAGCTGCTTCATCACTCCCTGCCATTCACTGTCCCAGGATATTCTCCTGCCTCGCCCCGGAATCCGTGTTCCACTCTTCTCTGGCTAAGCTGTTCATTGCCAGCCACCCCAAGACTCCCCACGCGGCAGGTAGCGTCTCCTCCTCCGGTCTCACAGCCACCCGGGCTGCAGCGTGGGGAGGGGGTAAGGGAGCCAGCCAACTCGGGGAAACTTCGTCGCCAGAGATGACTGGGGTTTTCGGGCTTTCCCAGCCTTCCCGCGCCGGGCCACAGGGCACTCATTAAAGTGGTGCAGCAACTACTGCTGCGCTCCTGGCCGGGCAGGTTCTGAGCTGCAGAGACCCACGCGCGCGGCAGCAGCGCTTTGCCACCAAGTGCACCCAGGACGCCGCGGCTGCCAGCCCGGGGCTCCTGCTGGGGGACAGCGAGTGCAGGGAGATTTTGCGCCACGATGCTTTGTTTTCCTGCCGCAGGAACGCCAGGCAGTCTCTTTCCAGCGGACTTAACCCGCCTGAAGCAATAGCCATGGAAGTTGCGGCGGCGCAGAGGGAGAGGGAACCGCTTGGCGCGGCAGCTTTCTTGGAGGTTTTTTCTCTACACAGACGACTTCTTCTCTTCCTTGGGTAAGTGAAGTCCAGCCTGTAAATAACCAAAGGGCAGAACCGAAAGGGATGGAAGGGGATTGCAGTAGGCCAAAGGGCTAAATTTTCTAGGGAGTGGGGTCTCCCTCTATCCTCACTCTGTGCAGTCTATTCTAAATACGCAGTTTAGGAGGAGTTGTGTTTGATTTCAGGCACATTGTGGGAAACAGTACTGGGATTTATTTACCTAATTTTGGTGGACTATTTTTTTGGGAGGGGTCACAGACTTGCTTTTGTCTACATTCTGAGAAGGGAGAATGAAAGTGGAGGTGGGAGAAATCTCCAGAGGTTGGAGGTGGGGAAAGGAAAGGAGGGGACGGCACCCAGTGATTAAGCAGAGAGATCGTCCTAAGGGCCAATGACTAGTGCAAGTCTTCAAGGAAGACCAGGAGCACTAGACACTGATCCTGCTACCTGCCCTAATAGAGACGACACCAGCCTCCCCATTCCCAGACCTCCCCTCATAACCATCCTGCTGATACCATTCTGAGGAAGGTCATTATTACCGAGGGCCCAAAATAACTTTTAATGAGGACCTGCACCCACTTGTGCACAGTGGTGCTCAATAAATGTTTGTTGATTGGCTGAATGATGTTGCATCCTAAGGCTGTATTTCATGCCACAGGAATTTGCCTTGGACAGTGAACTAATTCCCTGATACAGATCCCAGAACACAATAGCTCAATTCATTTTGCAAAGGAGGAGGGCCTGGAGGCTTAGAAAATATCACATTCAGGTCTCCATTACCCAAATCAACCCATCTGACAGGCTCAGGGTCAGATTCATGGGTCTGGAAATTAGATGAGCTCACAAGGTTCTGTCATGGAGAGCATGGGCCTTTATGTCATACAAACTTGGATTTGAATCCCCATATTGTGACCTTGGGAGTGTTTCTTTATCTCTCTGAGCCTTGATCTTCTCATCTATAAAAGGATGTAGCAAAGATGAATGGAGAGAAAATATGAAATGGTGAGGGGAAATTCAATCAATGCCAATCTTACTTCCCCATGCTCTGAGGATTCAGGAGGGGGTATCTTTCTCTGCCGAAACCCATCTCTGACTCTGATGCAGGCAAGAACATTGTATTGCAGTGACTGTGCTAGCGTCCAGCTGCCCGTGAACAGTTAAAAAGAAGAGTGCAGAGTGAGGCTCAAAACCCTTTCTTAGAAGCTGCTCCCTCTGGACTTGAGAACAGAATTTACATACACACTGGTGTTTCTGGGGATGGCTGGGAGAAGCAGAGATTCCTTGTTTGTTTCATTTCTATGTCTTATCCATCCTCCCAGTCCTAGTAGAGAGAGGCAAAGTGTGGTCACAGAGTCCAGGGAAAATGTTTCTGAAGCACCCATGGAACCTGTCCAAATGGCTGAAGAGTCAGAGCAGCACCATCAGATTGGTACCAGTTTTGCCTGAATGGGGGTGGCAGGGAATTCAGGGCTCCAGCCTGGGCTGCCTGTGACAGCCCAGTGACAAGGCACTCAACCTCTCCCACAGACCACAGCGGACCGCTGTAGGTCTTGCCCTTGGACTCAGAAGCCTTGATGTTATAGTGAGGGATGGATGGTGAGAAAGATGCTGCTGACATAGCGCTCCCCAGAAGCCTCAAGGTGCCGTAGAGTGGCCTGCAACTCAGAGATCAGCTGCCAGTGTGGGATTTTAGGACCCCAGTTGGCAGGCATGGGAATGAGCTGGACAATTTCCATGTGTAAGTAAAGGCAGCAACAATCTAACAGGACTTTACGGCACTAGATAGTAACCCCCATGAAGGCAAGATCTCTATCTTGTTCTCTGCCATATGGCCAGCACCTAGCACAGTGATGACACTTGGAAGGGGTTCAATATATATGTTGAATGGACAACAAAGTTGGCAACCTTCTCTGGAAGCCAGAGTAGGGGTTTAAACTACTTCCTATCCAACACTGCATCATGCAATTCATGTCTTCATTTAGCAGTATTTCTTGAGCATCTACTACGTGTAAGGCTCCGTTGCGAGGCATCCGAAGGAATCTGTCAGCATTATTCATGTTGATGCTCTGAGTGACCCATTCAAGAGCACCTCATCACCACTTGGCTTTTCTGGAGACTGAGGCCCCACCACAAACCCCTGTGGGGTTTCACTCAGGGGCAGTGAGAGGGCATGAGATGAATGCTCCAGGTTTAGCCCTTTTCCGGGAACAGGTCTGGGTCCCTTCGCATCTGCCCGGCTGGGTCCCCCGCCGCTTCCTGGAGCTGCCGGATCTTGGCAACTCCGCTTTCCTCCGAGGCCGCCCTGCCTCCCTCCAGCCCCCTTTCCAGCCATCGACCAGTGGCCCCAGCCGGGCTGCAGGTAGCTGGGGAAGGGACCAAGCTGCGCTTGGGGAGCCAGCTTCCCCGGGCGGGGAGAGCACAGCAGACGGGGAGCGGTCCCAGAACAAAAGGCTCATGGGTGGAACGGGCCTCCTCGGAGTGCGGAGGGGACGTGGGTTCGGGGCTCAGGCGAGAGAACCAGGCGCGGGAGGAGACTGGAGGAAAAAAATGAAGTGAGAGAAGAGGAGGAGGGAGAGCCCAGGGTGGGAGCGGTGACAAGAGGTGACCCGGAGGCTGAGGTCTGCGGCGGGGCCGCAGCGGCCCTTCCTCCGCCTCCTGCAGCTCCTTCCAGGCAGCCAAGCGTGTCTCCGGCTGCAACTCCAGCGAGCGCGCCGCGGCCGTCTCCACGCCCGTCCGCCGGCCGGCCAAGCTAGTAAGTAGCTGCGCGCCCGCCGCTCGCTCCCCGCCCCTCCGCGGCTTCCCCGCCGCCGCCCACCGTCTCCGGCCGCCCCGCTAGCTAGTCCGCGGCCACCTTCTGCTGCCCTGGGCCGGGCGCCGGGGTCTCAGCGCGCCTTCCCGGCCGGGCGTCTCGGTCCGCTGCGCGCCCTGCTCCTTCCTGCCGTGGCGTGGCGTCTGCGGCTCGCCGCGGGGAGGGTCGCCCTCGCCGCGCGCTCCACGGGAGCCGCACCACCCCTACATCCAATGGCTTTCGGGGAGCGGGAAGTGGGGGGCGTCGCCGGGGGCGAGGAGCCGCGGCCGGGGTGGGGCGTGTGCGCTCGGCGCGGCCGAGCGAGGCAGACGTGCCCGCCCAAGCGCGCGCCCGGGAGTGTGTGTGCGGGTGTGTGTGTGCGGGAGTGTGTGCGCACACGCCTTCAGGGGCTGGAGTGACACTGCAGTGGGCTTCTCCCTAGCCCCAGCCTTCCGGCGGCTCAGCCCCTAACCTGCCGGCCCCGCTTTTGGGAAGCTTCTTGGCTCTTCCATCTTCCCAAGCCTTTCTCTCCATCCTTTCATCCACCCCTCGCCGATCTTACTTTTTCTTTTACCCACGGGGCCGCGGCCGGCCGCCCCCTAGCCGGGGCAAACACCCAAGCCGTCTCCAGTTCTCTCCCAAGCCAGTGTTTTCCCACTTGTCTTTTTCTGGGGTTCCTCCACGAGCCAGTCCAAGCCTCCTCCATCCTCGGAAATTGTTTTGTTGGACTGCTAAACCGAGGCGTGTAAAGCTTGAGGACTTTATTATTATTTGGGTTCTTTTCATTTCTTCCCCTTCTGGGCAACGGAGCAATGAAATTTCCAATCGAGACGCCAAGAAAACAGGTGAACTGGGATCCTAAAGGTGGGTATTTCCTACTTTTGGCTGCCCTCGCCCTGCCTCTGTCTCTGGTGTGTGCGCGCTTCCTTGAGTGGAAGCACTCTTGCTTCTGGCAGCGTGTGTCCTGAGGCTGGGAAACGCGCCTGGGAACTGCAGCTCGGGTGGGAGGAGGGCGGAGGCAGCGTGGGTACCGAACCCAGATAGTGCCTGTCATTACCACATAATCACTGTCCCTCTGGATTGTCTCCAGATCTATTTAGATAGACCAAGCCGACTGTTTGGTTTGAAATTGCAAGTGTCGGTATTTGCTTTTGACTTTGAATGTGCGAGTGTGTATGTGTGTGTGTGTGTGTGTCCTTTGTTTCTGGTGATCTTTGTCTCTCTGGCAGATGGGTGGGGTGCCTCCCCCTGGACCTGGAGCTGCGCCGCATGCCCGGGTGTCCTCAGTGGGAAAGGTTTCCTGGCAGCAAGTGGGGCTCGAGTTGCAGCAGCCGTCCCTCGGGGTGGCCCTTCTCGCAGGGCGTCCAGAATAATGGAGCCCACAGGGCCTCCTGAGTCTTCGTTCAATCTTATTACCAAACCTGGCAGCTAGTTAAGCTCAGGTCGGAGTAGAAGGGGGAGGAGGGGTGGTGTGTGAGAAGGGTGGGGCTGGCACGGCATGGGGAGGGCCAGGAAGTGTGCCCGCCCAAGCCGTGGTGTGGTTTGCATGCTTTTACGAATGTTGGACCAGGTTCCATCCACGCAAAAGGGAGCGATTAAGAGGGATTTGCGTGTTCCTAGCGTCGGCCACCGTGTCTGTAATTAGCATACAGATGTGAAGGCTCCAAGGGAATGATCAGTATGGGAGCAGAACAAGTTGAAACTGTGTGTCCAGTTGTGACAAGAATGCTCGTTAGCATTTCTCTTAGCTTATCTGACGACTGTGTCAGGCTAGGCAATGCCTCTGTGTGTACTGGGATTGAAATTTGTTTATTAGGGGTGAGTGTGTGTTTAAGGTTCTTTATGAGTGCATTTCTTCTTTTCCTCCAGACTGGAAAGAAGAAACCTTATTATTTGTTGAGTAAATGTCTTAGGAATTGACTGGCTATTGAAGAGTGAGTGAAGAGATACTGGCTTTTTTAAACACCAAGATTGTTACATCTTAAATACAGCCCGAACGTTCTATTTTGTCTCTACTTGAAATCTCTGGAAATAAGGAGGTGTGCCTTTCCTTTTTTGAGGGGAGAATCCCTGAAAAACATATTTGCTAAATGCCTGTTACATGCTAAGCACTGTCCTAGGCACTGGAAATACAGTCAGAACAGGAAACACAAAAGCTCTGTCTTGGAGTTTACAGTGAGGGAGACAGACCTAAATCAATCATTGCGTGGAGGAATGCGTGATTCAGAGTTTATGAATGTTCCAAGAAGGAGAGCTTCAGAGGTTTCAGAAAGTGTCTGATAGAAGAGATTGACAAGGACCAGAGAAGGCTTCCCTGAGGAGGTGACACTTGGACTTAGGCCTGGAGGAGGTGTAGGAGTTAATTGTCTAAGGAGGAGGGGAATCGTTGCAGAAGAAGGAACAGCAAGTGCAAAGGGCCTGAGGCAGAAGGGGCATGTGTATTTGATGAACCAAAAGGAGGTTCCCATGGCTACTGAAGAGTGAGTGAAGAGGTATTGCCTTTTTATAAACACCGGCTGTTATACTGTAAATACCACACAAACCTTTCATTTTGTATCTATTTGAAATCTCTGGAAATACAAAAGTGTGCCTTGGCTTTCTATTTCTCCCTAGCAGAGAGCAAGAGGGCTTGTGTTTCGAGATATGACTGGGGGATCCACAGGGCTAGACCCCCCAAGCCCTGTGTTGTTGGAGGTGGAGTAGAGCTGTGGGATTGAAAGAGTATAGCCTTTATCTTAAGCCAATGAAGAGTTTCAAGATGAGGAGGGCCATGATTTGAACTAAGTTTCAAAACAAGTGCTATGTGACTCTTGTGGATGTGGGGGACCAGATATAATGGTAGCATGGGCCAGGGTGGTTGCTGTGGGCACGGAGAAGTGGATGGAGTAGAGAGCTGGGGAGGACGTGAAATCAACAGGCTTTGCGTGACTGATGTGTGCAGGTGAAGTGGAGGAATTGGAATGACTGGGATGGTAGCCAAGGCAGGGCCAGTCTTGAAGGAAAGCTCATGAGTTCAATCTAGGTCTTGTTGAGTGGGGCATGTCCCCAAGTCATCCAAGGGGTGTGTTAGGTGGGTGGAGGTCTAAATGCTGGGGTCAGGATCTTCAAGGAACTCTGGTACAGGGGGAGCACTGTGAGACTGATTTTGTGAAGCTGGCCCTGGGTTTTAAGATACATTTCTGTATGATCATCATTATTCATGTTCCCATGATGAACGCAGATGAATTTTACACATTTTGTAGCCTGACACAGTGAAGAAAAGCATGCATATAGCACCTTCAGTTACAACCAATGGTGGTAAAAGTGAAGAAAAATACTAAATAAAAATAACAACATTTAATGAGCAATCATTGCATACCAGGTGCTTTATGTACATTATTTCATACAATTGTTTCCACAATACTTATCTGATGGTATAAGTGTTATTGTCCCATTTGGCACTTGATTGCCATCATGACACCACTAATCTGCCTTCCAGTAGTTGCTCTGACTTTGAGCAGAGTTGTTCCCGAAGGTGGGGGTGACAGTAGTCTTTCCTAGCCAGGGGATGGAGGTGGGAAGAGAGTGGCAAGTGAGGTGGCATATCTCACATCTGCATAGAATTATGTGCCAGGTGCTCATCTAATGCTGTACATGTATTAATTCAATCTTCACAAACATTTTAGGAGGAAGGTGTTACCTTAATTTTACAAATGAGTTAACTGAGGAACAGAGAGGTTGAGTAACTTGGCCAAGGTTACACAGCTAGTAGGACAAGATTGTAATCTGGGCTATTAAACACTCTTCTAGTCTGTGTTTCTTACTGGGACTTTCGGCTTTTGCCTGGTAAGGTTCCCAGTGCTCCGGAAGTGGAGAGGCTTGTTGGAAAGAAGAAAAGGAGAAGAGAGAGGGTGAAGAAGAAAAAGGCTTGGAATAGGAGGAGGATAGAAGAGAGGAGATAGTAATTCAACCTTACCCTACTCATTGCTTTCTTTACTAAACTATTTAGACAATAGCATTTTTTTTCCATGTCTGGTGGACAAGTCAGTGGCTACTGGACAGAGTTTGAGTCTGTATTTTGGAGATTCTGGATTACACAGATCACATTTCATAGCAGGGAAAAGATGAAGGGGAACCCAGAAGTATTAGGAGAAAGTCCATTATTTGGACTGTAGGATTCGTCTATCAACAGATGTGACCTTTCAGGCGAAGCTGCTCTCATGGGTTGTGGAAGGCAGTTATAATTATAATGTTTTTCTTACAGCCTCATTACCCTACAATTTAATAGCACAAAATGAAGGTGGTTTGAGACTAGGTTGGTTTGGATGGCATTTGGGTGGATTAAGCAAAGCCTTGTCAAGAGGTGTAGGTAAAAACAAGACCCAAATGTAAAACGGCTTGTCTCTGGTGAGCGATGGCCTTGCCGTATATTCATGGAACAGAGCCTTCAATGAAGAGGGTTACCGTTTGTGTAGGACCTACCGAAAGTAGATTGGTTCTAACTCTTAGCTTTCATAGCAGAATTTATGTGCATTTGAAATCATCAGCATCATTTGTTGATGATTTTCTGCTTAAAATTGGTATTTACTTGCTGCGTACGTGTATTAAGAGCTTTTAAAAACCAGCAAGATCTGCAAATAGTATTCCTTTCACTAGAGGCAAGCAGATCAATACAGTGTAAAAACACTTTGGATTTGGGGGCAAAATAATTAGGTTCTTAAAGCAGCTGTCGCAGTAATTAGTTGTATGACTTTGGGCTGCCCACTTAACTTTTCTGGGTTTCACGTTCCTACCATGGAGAAAGGAGCCATTGACATTGCCTTTGTCTACCTCTTTGACTTGGTCTCTTCAACATCTTGATCTGATCTTGGGGCCAGTTGGCTTCCTTTCTTTCCTCAGATAGATCACACTTCTGTCTCAGGGCCTTTGTGTTTGCAATTTCCACTGCTTATCATGCATTTCGCATTGCTGGCTTCTTTCCATCATTTGAATCTCAGCTCAAATGTCCTCTTGTTAGCAAGGGCTTCCCTGTCCCCTCTGAAAGACCTCTCCTCCTGTTCCCCAGTGCCATCATTTTCTCTTATGTCACCTGTTCAGTTGTCTTACTGGCATTTGTCATGATTTGAAACCATCTTACTTACTCATGGGTCCACATTTGATGCCAGCCTCCTTCACTAGCATGTGAGCTGCATGAGCAGGGACTTCCCCTGTCTTGTTTATTATCATAACCTCAGTGCCCTGGGAAGTGCCTGGGACTCAGTAACCCTTTGCTGAATGAATGGAAGGTTGGGCAGATGAATTGGAGAGGACTGAAGGCTTTATGCGTCATGGAAATTGCAGGATGCCTCTAAGCTACAAATGGCAAAGTACGAATAAGAAGAAATGAAGAATATCCTCAAGTAGTGGCACATGAGAAAGGACACTGATATTCCCACTTCCTTGCAAGCTCCAGCTTTCTCTAAAGTCTCCAGTGGGCTGTTTTTCTTCATTTCTCATCTTTGACCAGGAGTGAGAAGGCTGAATGGGAGTGGGGTGAGGGTGGAAAGGTGGACTGATCTAGCCTGATAAAGATATGGTCAGTGTTCAATAAATAATTTGGCTCATATTAGCTATGGGAGTGTGGCTATTTTTAGGGACTTTAATCCACTTAAGAAAGAAGCAAAGCTATAGGAGTGGAGCTGGAGTTTTTAAAAAGCTGTACTTTTAAGCACACACTTTAGTGTGAAATTCTGGAGAGGCCCATACCTTATGTGTGTAGCACCTTTCAATTTATAGAACACTTTTTAGGAATGACCTAATTTGTTCTTTAAACAACCCTATTTTTGTAGGTATTAGAGTCTTAGATTTACTGACACATAAAGTAAGATGTAGAAAAGATAAATGAT